GGACTCAGTCGTAAAATCCAAAGCTAAACTGGAAATTACCCATGTAAATTAAGGGAAAACTTCATAGGAGGACAAAAAAAGAAAATGTTGAATTTGGACTGGTTTTATAGGGAAAAGGTAAAGGAAATTGCCTGAACAAAAACCCTGAGAAGAAAATGAGCAAGCTAAGAACGGGAAAAAATTACAAGATACGATAAATTAAAAGCAAAGGATTCATCTTAGAAACAATAGAAAACCAAGCTGAAATGATGGGGTAAAACCATTGATAGACAGCCTGAATTTGAGCCTGAGAAATTTAGACTTGATGTAATGGAAAACCATCCTGGGTGGATTTGACAGGGGGAAAAGATTAAAGACAAGCAGGAGACCCTAACCAGGTTGGGTGCTGACGTAGCAAGTGGGATTTAAAAAGAAATGTTAGACATAAATGCCACTATGGAAAAGACTTGGATTCAGTGAGTACGTATAGGGATCAAAGAAGAAGTCCGAGATGATGTTAGGATTATAGCAGGAGTCAATATAGCATTCATAGACCTGAGCACCTTAGAATTGGAAGATTATCAGCACCAAAAAGGTATAGCCTATCAATTGCTAGAGAAGGAAGCAAGAAATTGTCCCAAGGTATACCATCCTATTCATCACATTCTCATTCCAGAAAACTTTAGTTTGCTACTCAAATTGAATTAGAAGGTAAGAAAGAAAGCTCTCACCTCAGTGTGGGCCCTATGCTAGTGTTTTATGGTCGACCTATTTTTATTTCCGTTTCAGCTGTACTGATGTAAAAGTGCTCAGTGCTGCAGTGTATAATGTTACAGTTAGAAATAAATCAATAAGTGTTTGCTAAATACATACCAAATGCTGGCCTGCAGGGCTAGAAAGGTACAAAAAAGAGCCCCTGCCTTTCAGAAGCTTATAACATGGTTGGAGGAAAATGGCCAACACACCTGACTCTATAGAAAATAAATTCCATGGATATGGAGAACAACCTGTGTGGACTGTAAAAGTATGCTTATACAGAAATAGTGGGAATCAGGTTGAGTGGATTAGAAGTAATTTCTATAATGTTCATCATTCAACAAATCTTCACTCATCTTTTAAATACTGTTCTGGGTTCTGGAGGTAAAGCAGTAAAATAAAAAGCTCCTGGTCTCATGGAGTGTTCATTCCATTTGGGAATGGCAAGTAGGAACAAATAAATACAGAACCATTGAACAGTAGTAACTGTTCTGAAGAAAATAAAATACGAGGCTTTCCAAATGAGCATCTGGAGAGCAGCCTAGATCTTTCTGAGGAACATTTAAACAGTGACTTGAGTGAAAGAACAGCCAGTCATGGTGGGCCATGTGAGGATCTGGAGAAGAGCAGTCAGGCGGAAAGTAAACTAGTGCAGCATCCTAAGGTATCAAGCTTAGTGTGTTTGAGACTAAAAAGCCAAGTGTTTCTGGAAGGTAAGGAGCCAGGAGGAAAGTAAAGGGGATGAAACAGAAGAGGTAACTGAGGCCTTTTTGGTAAGTAGGGATTTTGAGGTCAGGTTAAAGTATGGATATCTGGAAGATTAGTCTCTCTGGCATTCTGGATCAGAGCAGGGAGAGATTAGGGCTTGAAAGAACAGCTGGAAGCCTGTGTGACAATCCAAGCGGGAGGTGATGTGAGGTAGACAAGGTTGGTGGCAAGGTGAGCGAGGAAAACAAAAATGTTAGAATTATCAAGTATTGAGTATTTATAAGGGGTGGTATGTAGTGTTGCCTGGGAAAAGTCCACAGTGTCGAATAGAGCAAAAAGGTCAAAGAGAATCAGCATTAAGTAAAAGCTAGTATAGTTAACACAAAAGATGTCATGTGTGGCCTCCGAGAGAAGAATACCTGCAACCTCACCTCACTTTAGCTCTCTTATTTATAAAATACTTAGTAGAAAGAGCACCAGGAATAGGTCTTTTGTTTTCTTACCTGTACAGCGAGGAATTTTTCCCTTCCACATTTAAATTTCTGTAATTCTGAAAGAGTTTTATATTTGGAATGAGCTTATGGGTTAAATGAGTCAGGAGAAGGCAAAACATGCAAATGTAACTGGAAGTCTGGTAACTTCATTTGTAAAAGTGCAGCTTGGAAGAGTTAGCCTGTGATGGGGAAATGAGTTAAGGAACATACCAAAATAAAGGAAACTGATTGGGCCTTTGGAGTTACATCCTCAGGTTGCTTTAAATTGTGTGAGTAAACATTATTTTCCTTAAATTAAAGAGTTAAAACCATCTACCATTCTAAAAATCCAGGCTCTACGTGGACTTCAAAGTTTAAAGCCATTGTTGAATTTAACAACACATTACAAGCATTTGAAAGCCTAATAGACCATCTGTCCATCCACTTTAATACAAATTGGGGAAAAGAAAAGTGTAAATGCCAAAAGTTGAAAGCAGGGGTTCCTAACTACATATGAAACTAACAACTCCTATCCCACAGAACAAGTATATGAAAAACTTCCAAAGGCTATGACTGCCATTTCAGTTGATTTGAAAATAGAATCAGGTAGTTTTCTGATTTAATTATCTAGTCCTTAATATTATCTGGAGTCTAATATTTTCAGTTTACGGATGAAGAACTAAAGCCCAGAGAGGGTAAGTTGCTTGTTCAATATTACCCAGGTTAATTGGAAACAAAGCCAGGAGCTCCTGTCTCATACCTGCCAGCATCTAGCTTACACTTACCAGTTTTCGACATCAGAGGTCTTTGATGTCTCAGTTTTGCCTCTGTGATCTGAGTGATGGATGAAATTGAACTTGGCATTAACTAGGAAGGTATTGATGTCAGAGGCTATTTTGTCCCACTGGTTTCAAGGATTCCTGTTGCACAAGCTCCATCCAACCCGGGCATAGTTCATTTTCATAATTCAGACAATTCTGGCCAGGCTGCTGGACATGTCCCAACCAAATACATTCATCGTAGTGCCAAGAGCTGTACATGACTGTAAGAATTATGAATCCCCCTTGTCAAGAAAATTGCAACATTACTGGGTAGGTAAAATGTGAAACATAAAATGATAAACAATTCACCATTAATAACCAGGGACTCAGTCGTAAAATCCAAAGCTAAACTGGAAATTACCCATGTAAATTAAGGGAAAACTTCATAGGAGGACAAAAAAAGAAAATGTTGAATTTGGACTGGTTTTATAGGGAAAAGGTAAAGGAAATTGCCTGAACAAAAACCGTGAGAAGAAAATGAGCAAGCTAAGAACGGGAAAAAATTACAAGATAGGATAAATTAAAAGCAAAGGATTCATCTTAGAAACAATAGAAAACCAAGCTGAAATGATGGGGTAAAACCATTGATAGACAGCCTGAATTTGAGCCTGAGAAATTTAGACTTGATGTAATGGAAAACCATCCTGGGTGGATTTGACAGGGGGAAAAGATTAAAGACAAGCAGGAGACCCTAACCAGGTTGGGTGCTGACGTAGCAAGTGGGATTTAAAAAGAAATGTTAGACATAAATGCCACTATGGAAAAGACTTGGGTTCAGTGAGTACGTATAGGGATCAAAGAAGAAGTCCGAGATGATGTTAGGATTATAGCAGGAGTCAATATAGCATTCATAGACCTGAGCACCTTAGAATTGGAAGATTATCAGCACCAAAAAGGTATAGCCTATCAATTGCTAGAGAAGGAAGCAAGAAATTGTCCCAAGGTATACCATCCTATTCATCACATTCTCATTCCAGAAAACTTTAGTTTGCTACTCAAATTGAATTAGAAGGTAAGAAAGAAAGCTCTCACCTCAGTGTGGGCCCTATGCTAGTGTTTTATGGTCGACCTATTTTTATTTCCGTTTCAGCTGTACTGATGTAAAAGTGCTCAGTGCTGCAGTGTATAATGTTACAGTTAGAAATAAATCAATAAGTGTTTGCTAAATACATACCAAATGCTGGCCTGCAGGGCTAGAAAGGTACAAAAAAGAGCCCCTGCCTTTCAGAAGCTTATAACGTGGTTGGAGGAAAATGGCCAACACACCTGACTCGATAGAAAATAAATTCCATGGATATGGAGAACAACCTGTGTGGACTGTAAAAGTATGCTTATACAGAAATAGTGGGAATCAGGTTGAGTGGATTAGAAGTAATTTCTATAATGTTCATCATTCAACAAATCTTCACTCATCTTTTAAATACTGTTCTGGGTTCTGGAGGTAAAGCAGTAAAATAAAAAGCTCCTGGTCTCATGGAGTGTTCATTCCATTTGGGAATGGCAAGTAGGAACAAATAAATACAGAACCATTGAACAGTAGTAACTGTTCTGAAGAAAATAAAATACGAGGCTTTCCAAATGAGCATCTGGAGAGCAGCCTAGATCTTTCTGAGGAACATTTAAACAGTGACTTGAGTGAAAGAACAGCCAGTCATGGTGGGCCATGTGAGGATCTGGAGAAGAGCAGTCAGGCGGAAAGTAAACTAGTGCAGCATCCTAAGGTATCAAGCTTAGTGTGTTTGAGACTAAAAAGCCAAGTGTTTCTGGAAGGTAAGGAGCCAGGAGGAAAGTAAAGGGGATGAAACAGAAGAGGTAACTGAGGCCTTTTTGGTAAGTAGGGATTTTGAGGTCAGGTTAAAGTATGGATATCTGGAAGATTAGTCTCTCTGGCATTCTGGATCAGAGCAGGGAGAGATTAGGGCTTGAAAGAACAGCTGGAAGCCTGTGTGACAATCCAAGCGGGAGGTGATGTGAGGTAGACAAGGTTGGTGGCAAGGTGAGCGAGGAAAACAAAAATGTTAGAATTATCAAGTACTGAGTATTTATAAGGGGTGGTATGTAGTGTTGCCTGGGAAAAGTCCACAGTGTCGAATAGAGCAAAAAGGTCAAAGAGAATCAGCATTAAGTAAAAGCTAGTATAGTTAACACAAAAGATGTCATGTGTG